AAAAAAACAATAATAACATAAAACGTCAAAACATACATAGCACACAGAAATCAATAACAATTAACGTTGACGAAACGCGACGGAAGACAGGAGAGGTACTCGCTGGAAACTCTTCCATGTCGACTGCCGTGTACCCATGAGGGTTAACGTATAAATGGTGATAACGAGTAAGAATAACAGTATATAAACAATTCAGTAAATAAAATATAAAAGACTTGGTTAATTAAATAGACCCAACACACTGTGAATGTACGAGTTAAGACATAAAAAATAGCAGTATATACATAAGGAGTCAAGTCGGACACGATTATCAAGTACAACACAGTCAATACGTCCCAGATCTGTGTATAAAGTGACTACCCCATCCTTTGTGTACGAATGCCTTGTGTAGCGTTGTATCTACGTCAGAACTGTTCTAGATAAGCTCCGTTATAAGTAAGCTTTGCGCTAAGTATGGCCCGTTCTAAATAAGATGATAAGTCGTTCCGCGACTGTTCCGATGATTTATGACGAAATACTGATTGTGTGCTACATAACCAGCCTAATTAGTGTACGATGTGACATCACGACCGAACCGTTTCATTGTCAATACGTTCCGCGGTGCACGACAACATAGGTTCAAATGTACGTTTCCCTTAGAACGCGAATCGCGATTTCAGATCGTGCATCATTATCGTGCGATTACCGATACAGTGTAAATTAAACGCAGTTGGTTTTCTTCACGCGATTGCGGACGGCGATCTACATTTTTGTACATTTGTTGTTTTGAAAAAAAATTATGATATGACATTCATTTAACGATTGCCGTTGCCCGTGTTTGTCAACAATGAGCGCTCCAACGACCTTCGGTCTCCGATTGTGTTGCTAAAAAAGATTTCAATTCCCTCAATTCATAAGGTCCAAAACAAGGATTATAAACATTTAAATACAAGAGATGTCATTTGGAAGAACATTAGTGAAACCATTGGACGTAAATAAAAGTATGATAAATAATTAACATCAACCGTAAAAGTGTAAAACATATACATATACGTAAATCATTTCTCGATGGTGACACAAAATCGTCCAGAACAAAACAGAGCTGGCGATCTTAGTGCGCGCAATTCGCTGATCATGCGATTGAAATCGTTTAGCCCTTGACAGTAAGGGTGCCATTTCAGTTTTAAAATAGAGCTGCCAAAGGTTACCAGGCCACAGTTATAACAATGAAAACTGAAATGTAGATACGACGCTACGTTGGAGTTATTTTTTAACATACTATTAGGGATGAGAAATAAATTTGCAAAAATAAAATAGCAAAATAAACGGCAAAATTAAAATACAAGAAGAACCCTATGGTCCCAATAGAACTTGTACTTCTTTTAGATAGCAGTAGTTATTAACAAGAAAAACTTTTTTCGTATTTAAAATGCTGTTGTGTAATCTAGATCAGACTGTCGTCTATGAGCCCAATTCAAACGTTTAATTAACTCGATTTGACTCCGGCACATCGGGCACGAAATCAAAGCAGGCCAATCGTGCCACGGGGAAAAACAGGGCCGGTGGTCAGTGTGTACCCTGTGATACCCCGAACGGTATTGACGGTCCGCCACGGCTATCCTTCGCGCCCGGGATCCGGGCGGATAGCGGCGGGTCGAATCGCGCGCGCTTTCTGGGCGCCCGCGAGAAATTCAATCGGACGCGAACGAGCGCGCGCGCGCCCATTGTTCCGGGCGCGGTACCGTAAAAACGGAAATAAGCTGCGCGACCCGTCTCCGGACGGCCGCGAGCGAAAAGGCAATAAACGCGCGCCCGGTGGCGCCGCGGGCGGGCGCGGGAGTAGTACTACGCCGGCGAGCTACCCCTAGCCCGGCGACGGAAAGGGACACGGGACGGGGGACGTTGTGTGACACAATATGTACGTGCGCGCGCGTGTGTACCCGAGTAAAGCTGTGCAAAACGTGTGCCGTACGTGCGTGCGCGCGCGTGCCGGTCGCGAGTGTTTCTTTGCGGCGCGCGCGCGCACACCGTAGTAGAAGAGACTTAATAATAGACGGGAATGGCGCATGTTCCGCGTCCGCAGGTGTATAGGTATTATTACGCTACGGCCGCCGCCGCTACACTTCTCGGCCGAAACATTCGTACACACGTATTACTACTACTACTACTACTACTACTACTACTACTACTACAACTACTACTACTACTACAACTACTACTACTACTACTACTACTACTGCTGCTGCTGCTGCTGCTGCTGCTGCTGCTGATGCTGCTGCTGCTGCTACTACTACTGCTAGTACTGTTATAGTGCTACGGCGGCTGCGTCCGTGGGCGGCGAAGGGTGGGAAAAGTCCCGGTGGCGGGGAGGGAGGGAAATCTACCCCGGCGAGTCTACCGCCGCCGTCGCTGCTTTTCAGTACGTGACGGACGCGCGCGCATCGCGACACGACTCGGACGCGGGACTCAGCCGCCGCCGCCAGAACACGTCAAAACAAACAATATGTGAGTCGCAACGTTTTTTTTTTTTTCCTTCCCCTTTCCACCCTCTTTAGATGTACTCCGATAATATCGTACCGATAACGGGTTTCCCGAAATCTGTACTCGAGATGTTTATTACGCACGACCGGTTGATCGCGCGCCGTAATAATAATAATATATAACTTTTCTCCGCACACGGTTCAGCGTCAAAATCCACGCGCTGTTATTCGTAAAATAAATAGTTACCAGAACTGAATAAACGGAGTGTTTTTGTACGACACCGGTTTCGAATCGATTGATCGCCGTCAGGTGTGTACCGCCGAGTCAATGGAATCCCGATTGAATGTGAAAAAATTAAGTTAAGAAAAATCGGTCGTTTTCCGTAGGGATAAAAATGAAATTTTACCTTTGAGAACATTTCGCTAAAATTCTATATAACAATACTAATAATCGTTTTTAAAACTAATAATAATTTAATCAAACATATAAATGAATAGAACTAAAAACTTCACAAAAGATTGCCTTATTTTGAAAACTTTGGTGTGTATAAACTTAAATGTAATTGTAATACATTTTATATAGGTAATACAAATAGAAATTTCAAAATAAGTTGGAAAGAACATTTCTAAAATAAAACGAAAAAAACTGCCCCCAATTCAAATTTTGCTAAACATGTTTTAGAAAATAACCATAGTATACATTTTGATATCAATACAGACTTATAAATATTTAGTACTCAAAATAGCGTTTACTTTTATTCAGTCTGAGATAAATATAATAATAAGTATAATTTTAATAATTTTATAAATGTACAAACCGATTTTAAAAATAATATCTTATATAATTACATTTTAGAAAATAATATATAAAAATATCCAAAGTATTTGTATTTGTCAACATATCTATGTCTTATAAGAATTAATTTTGAATAATTTCTTCCATTCAAATAAATTAACTCTATGTAAATCGACCAATTTTTTATTTTCAATCATGATTTTATTGACTTTGTACATACCTGACAATGAATTTTTAACTCGAACCGATGGCACTTTACAAATATAATAATACTCCAGGATAAGCATTTGTTTGTTTAATTATTTATATATTAATTTATGTGTATTAGTTAATGTATAGTAATAACAACATCATAGGCGTAATTTGAAAATTTATTAGGACGGGGGAACGGGTGGCAAATATATAGTTACATATCAACTAGTCCATTTAGCTAACCTTAAATTACTTATTTGTTATATATGTGTTAACATTACCTTTTGTTGTATATTGGTGTAAGGTGATCAATATTACTAAATAATAAAATAAATCAAACAGAAATATATAAACTTAAATATATTTAAAACATAGAAATTTTTAATACCTATATTATAACTTCTAAACAGAAACGCCACTTTATTACCTACATATTATTATACAAAATGATTCATTATTTATTATCTGACATAATGTTAGATAAGCTAAAACTGAAAATTAAGATTTTTAAAAAAAAAACCGTATACTAATAGCTATTAATAGCTATAACCAGCTGTTTTGTACTTATTTTAAAACCAGGTATATTAAATATCAGAGGGAGCACTTCCCTTCCTAATTTATTCTAGGGGGAAAATACCCCCTTTCCCTCAGTTTACGCTTATGAAAAACATGATATATAATATATTCATCAAGTAATTTTAATTGTAATTTAATTTTTATTGTTTTATTTTACATTATTATTATTATTATTATTATTATTATTATTCTTACTATTATTATTACGGAACAATAAACTTAATGTCGTTCATATCGTTTTCGTTTAAAAGTCATAAATGCAATTTTTTTTAGGGGTGAGGATTAAATATTTTTTATGTCAATATTAAACGTCCATTTTTTTACCTCCTTGGACAAAAAATTAAATTATATATGATTCCATCATAATTGAAATTACATACTACATTTTATACACACGTTAAAATATTCATGATGTGCATATTTTTCATTCTAACCATTTCAAAAGAAGATTTTTTTTTAGCCCACGGAGGAATTTATCCCCCCCCCCATCATTTGTAAGCTACTATATTTATTTATATATAATGTACAATGTTTGGAATGAACGTTTTTGAACCATATTCATATTTTGTAAACGTCACTCGCTTTTCTCAAATAATACATGAATCTGAACGATGTTTACATTTTTAATAAATTAGAACGATTTTTGAGCGTACGAATTTAATTAAAATTTTAAATATATATATGTATAAATAATAAATATTGATAATAATATGTTTAAGTATAGATTTTAAAATAAAGTGAAGTATAACTAATACATTTTGTAAAGGCCCCAGTAATACAGAATGCAGGTTGGCGATTCATAAATATAAAATAAAAAAATTTAATTGAACGGCCAAATTAACACGAACGTGAACGAGTTCAATTTTTAAGTGAACGTTCTGAACACTCATAATATACAGGGGCGTATACTAAATTGGATCTTATAGGTTCAACTTTTCTCTCCCTCGTAATGAAAACGAATATTTATTTCCACACTCAACAATCAGTAGCTTTTGTCCACGTAACAGATATTATTGTCGTTAAGTGAATGTAACTAAACAACATTTTTCATTTTTATTTGTTTTTCATTAATTATAGTTTTTAACATAGTAACCATTGAAAACTACCCAAAAATACTTTCGTTGTGAATTTGTCTGATAATATATCTATGCGTATTATTATCATGCACCGGAGTTATTGAACTGATATACAAGTCACGTCTCGTAAATAATGCGATTTGGTCCTTAGCTCGACATTCATTTAACGTTGTTCTGAACCCCACCATATAGAATTCGCAATCATTCTGTAAAACAATTGTAATAATGAGATATAAATTTTCGCTTATAATATTATGTAGTTAGGCGATATTTTCTTTTACGCTCGCTCAAAAAGTAAATAACAGTTGACAGCTCTACATGGTGCAGTAGTCGTATCAATTTTGATTATGGGGACCATCACAAATCATTCTAGGATAACGTAATAAATTATGCCTGGAAAATTATCGATTTCCCTCAAAATGGTACGTTAAATTAAACAAGTTGCGTTATACGTAATAGGTCATTAGTAACTAATCGAATTCTTATGCTTACACGAAAAGTTATTAACAAAAGATGGTAAAAATATTTTTATTGAAATAGTTATATCTACAGTGAATGTTATTGATTTCTATTTGTACTTAAATTTATTCTTGTATATTAAAATTAAAATTATCAACTGTCATATTAAATACTTTATTTACATGAGTATTTTTAAATAGTGATTTCAAGTAGATTATATAAAATACATCATGTGTATTTAGACATCAGGTGATATTTTTTTTAGTTTTAGTTTTTTTTATTGTAATATAAATAATAACAACAGAGCATAGAAATTAAATATATTATTTAAAAACAATAATTTAGTGTTTTTTTTAATTTTAAATTAATACTCACGGTGTAATAATGTATTTAATTGTATATAAAATATATAATTATTAATATTAATTATAAATACTGTATATTTAGTATTTAAACTATAAGTTAATTTACTAATATATGTAGTAAATATCATACTTTAAATTAATATAAATTATAATAACCGTGGGTAAGGGAAACAATATTTTACCATCATAATTAAAACAGTAAATTAAAATATGTGGACAAAAACTGAAAATGTTAAGATACCATAAACATAATACTTATTGCACACGTGACACATTTTTGTATTGTTTTAACTTTATAATCCCAATAAAAATTCCTAATAAAAAATTAATTTCAAACCTGAAAGAATCAATATCTTTAAATTTAACATAAAACTTACAAGTTATAAGTTAGAATGCATTATATTATGAAAACACAAAATGTTTTCTTAGTTTTTAATCATTCCTGCATTAAATGAATGCAACTTATTGAGAAGATTTAAACTACATAATAGAGAAGCAATTCCATTTTCAAAAAATTATTAGGTAATCATTTAATTTAATCATTATTAATCATTATTATTAATAAAATAAAAAGTAATATATGATAATAAAAATCAATGTATATAAATCAATTAAAATATGCATTCAAATATTTTTAATTTTTAAAAAGTTATATTTTAATAATTATATTTTAGAAAAAGAGTAAAAATGATATTTTAAATATTAAACATTCATTTTGGTAAATTAATGATAAACTTATATTATATTTTTTATTTTTAACTTGCAAGTATTCATTAAAAAAGTGTTAATTATTAAAAGTAATCTAAATGTTAGTTTTAAGTTTGGGGATTACTCATAATAATAATTTACTCAATATATGGAAAACATCCCATATTCCATAAACTTATGTAGCTATTTCGATTAATGTCTTACAAGAGACTATTCCAGTTTAAAAATAATTACACTCTTTTTATAATTTAAAATCGGTTTTAAGAAAAAACATTTTTTTAATTTGTCAAGGTAAATTTATCTGTAACTATCAGGGATTTTTTCATTTTCGTATTTCCAAAGTGAAACGTCCATCCCTATTAAAATTAAATAAAATATCGTTCTACAGTCTTAATCAATTTCAATAATCAAACATTTTAAGACGAATAAATTTTTCATTAACACTAACATAAATTAAATTAAAAATGAGTTACGTACGTCTTATAAAAAAAACCTAGTTAAACGTATACTATTATATACCAGCCGTGTACTTAACTTATTTATGACTTATGTTCAATATAATATTATTATAATGATTCATCTTATTGTTATAATATTTGCGCTGTCATGAGTACGTTCTAAATAAAGTAAATACTTCGTATTATATTGAACTGATATTATCAAAGGTCTAAATCATCTAAGAAAATACGGTAAACGGGTATTTATGATTGTAATCCAGCAAACAATAGGATATTTTCAATAAGTAGCACTCCTGGAAAATGTACATAAGAGGCGTACAGCTTTTAAAAGCGTCTGGATATCGTTGCGTAGGAGCTTCAAGTATTTTTTTATAAGCTCGCTAATTTTTTTTTTT